ACGACGACAATAGTGTTGATTATTAACTCTTCGCGCTTTTACGCGTTTTGGAGGATGAAATGGAAACATGAAGTCATGCAGGCTGCGATTTACTGACAAACATGCATATGTTATTAATGTTTGTGTCAGTTATGAGGCAAATAACGAACAATACGCAGTAAATCGTTTTTCCCTGACCAGCAGCACCGCCTCTGGGAGACTCCACCCAGTTTTAGACGCTCTCATTTCTTTTATTTACTCTTATTTCTCCTGGACGCTGAGTGACTTTGTCAGGCGTTTATCAAAAGAGAAATTGGTCAGTGTTTCACTATACTTACCAACCAAAGGTCGCCTTTTTAACGTCATTGTTATGACGAAAATATCATAACCTTCTGCGTCAAAAATGCCAGAAATACACTCGGAAACCACAATTTAATCCATACTCTACGTTTAAACCAAGTTCTGTGCGTCTTGGACAGATAATTTGGAGACATGTGAATCTAATGATCACATTGTCTTATATTTACTCCCTTTTGTCCTGTTAATTGGACGCTGTGGGTGTTTGCTGACTGAAACTTTGTCAAAAGAAAAGTTTTCCTGAAGGAAATTACGCGCAAAAGTCGATGTTTATATATACTCAAATATTTACATACACCAGAGCGCTGTTTTGATCATTTTTAGAACAAAAATGCGATAATATTTGAGTCAATATCGCCAGAAATACATTAAAAATAAAAGTAGTATATATAAAAGTATTATTTTCAGTCATTACTCAAGTTGTCTCAAATTTACTCCCATCTGCCCTGTTTATTGCACGCTATGGGTCTATGCTGAATCAAAAGAAAACTTTTTGGAGAAGAAATTGTGCGTAATGATTAATATTTTAGTATAGTTACAAACCCTAAGGCACCGTTTTGATCAATTTTAGGACAAAAATATGATAAAATTTGAGTCAAAATCGCCAGAAATACAATTAAAATACAACTATTAATCAGAATGTATGTTTAATCCAAGTTCTGTGCGTCCTGGAGAGACACTTTGGAGACACATGAATCTTAGTTTCAGTCAAGTTGTCTTATGTTTACTCCCATTTGCCTTGTTTATTGGACGCTGTGTGTCTTATCAAAAGAGAGGTTTTTGGAGAAGAAATTGTGTGCAATAGTCAATGTCTGGGTATATTTACAAACCCAGGCACCGCTTTGATCAATTTTAGGACCAAAAAAAAGATAAAACTTGAGTCAAAATCGCCAGAAATACAATTAAAATACAACTATTAATCAGAATGTATGTTTAATCCAAGTTCTGTGCGTCCTGGAGAGACACTTTGGTGACACATGACTCTATTAATCATATATTATTCTTATTTTCAGAGACTTTATCAAAAGAGTATTGGAGTTTTTGGAGAAGAAATTTGCGTAATGATTAATGTTTTAGAATATTGTTATTTTTAAGATGAAAATATGAATAATTAAAATCACTAAACTCAAATAAAAATATAGTTTTTGTGTTTAATCCAAGTTATGTGCATCTTGTGAGATACTTTGGAGGCCTAATAATCATTTAATATTTTTATTTTCACTCGTAACTCAAGTTGTCTTTAAAAAAATCCACTTTTTCTATAATGTTTAGGTCTGTCAACATTTTATCCTCTTTTGCATTTTGCTTCTGCGTGTGTGTGTGTGCGTGTGTGCGTTTCCAATGTCTGCTGCCTCATTGCGTGATCAGTTTGAATACCTGACCAAACTAATTGGAGTTACGCCATGGGTCAATGACCAAATCCCCAAACATTGTTAAAAAACACTTAACGATCCAACCTCCCATATTACTGTAATTAGTATTTGTGTTTCAGTCACAGATAAAGAGGCCTGTCCCGTTCATAAAAAACTGTTTGTGAAGAAGGTGTGTGATAATGCTGTAATCGTGTTTTGGCTGCTAATGTTTCCAGAAAAAAAAAGGAAAGCTCACTTGATTTAAATTGAATAAAAGTTTAGGGGAAATTCAGTTTTAGTAAGATTTTTGGGGTTAAATTCAAGTTGTGTTTCAAACTGATAAATACAACCGCAGTTAGTTTTTGGATGGTTCATGTAAAACAAAACAGCAGATTTTTATCTTTTTACTGAGATTAAAACTTAATTATTTCAGCACTTTAACGGTTAATACTTCGATTGCAATCCCCGTAACTAATGAAATAAAGGAGAAAACTTTTTTGAAAAGCTCCAAAACTCGACTTTGTATCCCAAACACGAAGCTTCTGCAGATTCCAGTGTCTTTTGTTGCTTTGAAATGAAGCGTGCACTCCCTTTTTAAACCTCCAAACCCAACCAAGTGGAGAAAAGAAAAAGTTTTCCAGCTCCCACCAGAAATCATGTCACTTTAAAAACCTAGAAAACAGGAGCGAAGGCCTTCTGGTGTGTGTATTTATAGAAATATTATAAATAAGAAAGCTTTGAGAACAGTAAATGTCCCGTTTATAGATAGATGCACAATGCAAACAACCTCAAATGACCAGAAAGAGCTCATAATGATATATAAAGAAAATATAAACGCTTTTTCTTATAATAAGGCTGCTTTTAAACCCATTGATCTTTTATTTGAGCATGAAAATCAAATCACCTCCTGTGAAAACCTTGAGTATAAACACACCAACAAATACCTGAAACCAGAAAACAGCACAAACACCTCGCTTAAAAAGGCCCTAAAACTTTGAGAGCTTCATTCCCTTTGTGATTTGGCGTGATTAGCCTTGAATGCTGCATTTGCTTAAAAATATGCAAACGCCATAAATAAAAAAAGGAAGAAAGGAAGAGTCCACTAATGCGAACTAAAAGCCTTTCGATCACGCTTAAAAGCTGCTTCAATAGCACCTGGCATTAAGAAAATTCAGCGCGATGGGTTCAATATTTGACGCCATTACTGAGGAGACTTTTTATTATTTACATTTGGTTCTCACTTGAAGGTCAGGCAGTGTTCATGCAGCCAATCCGCTGCTGCCCAGCGTCTCCTCAGCGGCAGCAGGAAGCTCAGGCCCTCCCATTAACACCCCTAGTGTCAGCACTAATGAGGGACACAGTGGCTGCTCTGTGTTCCCAAAACTGCACACACACCTCCACCCCACCACCTCTGTGTTTGAGTGCGTTTTGTGTGTGGTTAATATTAATGTTGGTGTACTCCACAGCGATGATGCGTAAAGCTCCTGCAACAAGTGTTTTTATACACAAGAGGTGATTTAACGCTCAAACAGGCCTCCGCACCAGCCTGCTGCTGTTTATGTGCGCTAAATCAAAATAAATGGGCTCACTTTTAACATATACCTACTTTAACTGCATCATATTTTAATTTATGGGTTTATTCCCGAGGTTTTCATTGTGAAACCTGCCACAACCCCTCCGTAAATGGCGCTCCTTTTTAAGTTAAGTGTCCACTGCATGCGTATTGGCTTGTGCGTCATTTAACCACGGGTGGATGAGGTAAAGCAGCGCGCACAGATCCGATGCACCCACGGACACGTTTGTTATCAACTTAGATCTGTATTTGATGAGCATACTGTTGCTTAAAACTGCCGAAATAAAGCATTCATAGGCCCACGCTTGGGAAAATATGCAAAATCACAATAAAACTCGCCAAATTTCGCTTTACGCATGACTAGCCTCTAAAAATGAACCAGTACTTACAGAATAAAACACCGCTGCTCATATTATGCCATACAAATACAATCTTTAGACTAAATGCAACTTCTGTTAATGCAAACCACACCGATATTTGTGTCTCTAAGACCCCGTTTGCAGAAATTTGCACGCTTTAATCGTTGGAGCAGTAATATTCTTCACATTAAAGGTTGCATTTCAGTGCGTTATCACTACATGGCTCTATTCTCCTATAAATGAGACAGGAACTGTGGTGTTGCAGCGTCATATACGAGCTATATCTTGCTCAGTGTGTAAGTGATGACGTACATAATAAACACAGAGGGGTTGGGCTCGTGGCGCTGCAACATTTGAATGAAGGCGCGCGGGGTCTGTGAATGAGTGCCGTGGAAATGTCAGCAGTGTTCAGAGGAGCCCGGATGCACCGACAGGGCCGGTGTGACGGGGATGTACGACACTTCACCGTTTCTTTTTTTAAGACACACAAACACACACACACTGAGCTGCACATGGGAAGATTTTACACAGATATTATGAGCTGCACTGGAAGCAGGGAGGAGTTATGAAATGAGGGTGATATTTTGGCTTCTGTCCTCGCCTCTGCCTTTTTTCTTTTTGGACAGGAACGAAATCAGATGCAACCATTACGCATTAAATATGCTTCTACTGTGCGCAAGATTATACGCAGTTATGAACTATTGATCAATTTGTATGCAAATGGGGACTAAAATGTAGCCTATCTTTTAAAAGGCTACATAAATGACCATAAATACAAAGACTAATAATTGTCCAAATGTGGTGCCACACTATTGCTGAAGTATGGCCATGCTTTACGCACATGCAAGGCCTTAACTGGCGCGTGCACACAGCCCTTGGGCCTATTTATGCGTGACTTTTTTATCTGTTAACACACACTATAAATCTGAATCAATTATCTTGCAACACTGTAAACATTTAAAGCTGAAATAGTCCCCAGATGTGTCCATTAAACAAGCCGGGCGTGCGCGTTTTGGGCGGGGCAGCTCCTCTACTCCGCCCTCCCCCCCCCCATTGGCCAGGAGCCAATTACAGCCTCCAAACACACCTGTGGCCAACACACTTTAAATAATATACATTTAAATAAAGTAAAAGATTGACTTTGGTGAATAAATAGGACAGTAGCTTAATTTGTTTTTAAAACATGCTACAGGCTATGCTAAGGCCTTAGCTAGCAACCTGGCTAAGCTAATAGCTAGCTTCCTTGACATAACTGTTGTTTTTAAAAAATAAAATAAGCTGTTATTGGCGTCTTTGTTTAGGTTGTTTATCACAGCACCTGTTTATTGTTTGTTTTATTTTGAATTGTATGCAAATATTGTCCTAATTTGAGCTTCTTACCTGTGTTTCGGAGAGATTCAGCTGCCTCGCTAGCTCAGTGCGCTCGCGCCCAACAACGTACTGGCAGCGCTGGAACTCGAGCTCGAGCCGGTACAGCTGCTCGGCCGTGAAGGAGGTCCGCGTGCGCTTGGGCCGGTCCAGGTCGAGGCCCTTCGGCAGGACGATCTCCCGGATGGTGCCTTTGGCGTCTGCGCAGAGCAAATAAACACACGGAAAACAAGGCGTGAGGACATTTTACAAACAAATGACACAAAACTATCAATTTACACTTAAGTTTAATGAAAGTAAATACTCAAATAAGACTTTTATTATAAATTAAAATATAAATATAATCACTTTTTTTGTAGTTTTACGTTAAAAAAAAAATCAGATAAACATGCCTTTCTTTCATGAGTATGGCTACAGGCTAATTTATCCTACACAGAAACGTGGATGGATGCGCGTTTTTCTACTTGTGTGATTTTATTTACTGCTTTTATTTACTATTATTATTTTTGTACATATTTAAATTGCCTAGTTGGAGTGATTCTGTGACCCAGTGGCACCCACTGCTTTTGCATTCGCTGTTAATGTGACATTAAATACCTTTGAACTTTGCATTTTAAATAAACAAGCCACATATGTGTTATTATTTTTTAACAGAAGGGAATGCTGTGTGAAGAAAGGCCCTATTGTCACTAATATGTGCGCACAGGTGTGGCGAGATTACCAGTAAACTAATGACACTTTAATGTAATTGTGCTTTAATAAGTGGCTCATAACTCGTGTCGTTTACCCACAATACTATACGCTCGATAATCCATTTTATATTTGTAAAAAGACTGAGATTTTCCTCATGACTCAATGTCCAAAACTCAATAAATCCCCCTTTGCACTGCCTGCGTAATGTGAGTCCACGTGATTGTGGGCACTACGTCAGTTTTGCGCACTTACAAATGAGACTATCTTGTGTTTTCATGAGCTGGAACTCAAATTAAAATCCTTTAATGAAAGTAAAAGCAGCTGCAACACTTCACTGGGAACTTAATTAGACATAGTGTGGTGTAAAATAAACATACACGGTGTGAGTGTGAGCACTGGGTTATTATCAGGGCTGAAAAGTGTTTTCCAATGTTAAACTAAAACTACATGAAATTTAATTCACTCCAAACAAGTTATAGAATGTATTAAAGCTTCTCATGTGTTTCCTCTTTAAGTTAAAGGGCTGTGCGTCAGTATCCATCCACAACAACATAGTGTGTGTGGGTTGTTGGGCCAAACTATCTCAATACATTTTATTTATTTATTTATTTATTTATTTTTGGTTAGATGTGTCCGATTTTTATTGGTTTTGGTTTGCATTTTATTTTTGGTTGAGTCATTTGTTCCACCCTGTTGGCTCTCTGCTATTAATCTCTGTTGATTTATTTGAAAAGAAAAAAAAAATGGCTGCGTCGATAATTTTTTTGTTCAACGGCTGTCCCCAAAAAATAAAACTAATTTAAATTAAAGACATAAACTTTGGTGTGAAAAAAAAATCCTACATTTGAGATGTATATTTTAATAAACTAAATAATTAGAGAGACATCCTGGATGGGTCCGAGTCATTACACCCCGCCCTCAATCCAGGAGCCCTCGGGTTATTGTCTACATTATTAAAAAAAAAAATAAAAAATCACAGTCGTAACTTGAATTTTGTCTCAATGGACACATCTGTTGTTTTCTTAAAGACGCGTTTCAACCAGTAAAATGCTTGGTTTTTGTTTTGTTTTTTGTTTTTTTGTTTTTGGTTGCACTGCAGCCGGGAATATTTGTCCGTATTTATCACATTGAATGGAAGCGCAGGGCAGACGCGACCTGCTCTTTGTCCAGGGTTTTGAGGTCATAAAAAATGCAATCGAATAAAATATGAAGAGCGCTGAATTAAATATGAAACAAAACTGATTGAACTCAACATCCATAGTGTTTCTATAGGAAGGTGGATCAACCAAAACTCCGAGTTAAAGATACTAAAGATTAATTTTTTTTTTTTAGCTGTAAAGTCAAATTGGACTTGTTCTCCGCTTGCTTTATCGTAATTTTAAATGGTAATAAAATAGAAGTAAACTCAGCATTTGGTGTGTGTAAATACAGCAGGTGTAGTGGAGGAGAATCAGTGCGTAAAAGGGAAACTGTGCGCTGTTTTGCTGCATAATGCGCATTAAAAGAGTTAATGAAACACGGCAAATTAATCCCTTATATATGATTTGATCTGTGCTAAGCAGTTGTTTTAAGTCACAGTGTTACAGACAGTTACTCTTAAGTGTATGCTTCGCCTGCAGGCCTGAGCTACATAATGAAACATGCCTGAGAGGTCTCCATCTTTACGCACGCATAATGACTTTGCGTAATGTGTCGACAGGCGAGTGAGATTCTGCGCCAGAGATGCCACAAACCCTCCTAATATTCACACATACATTCACAAACATATCTGGATCCAGAGCCAAAAAAATAAAGAAATAAAATAAAACAGTTCAACATGTGATAGAAACATTTGTCAAGCAGAGGAGGGAAGCAGCGGCTGTATATACGCAGACCTGCTGACCTCTCGGTGACCCCGGCCTCTCCGCGGAGAAGCCGAGCATCCAAGCTCAGCTTCAAAAACACCTCCTGACAATGCGGGCCTCGGTGGATCAGTGCACTGTACGGAGTCTCCACCAAGACCGGATCACACCCCCCAAAACCGGCTCACACCCCTGACCTCCTCCGGGCCACTTCCGCCTCTGATGGGCCACCATCAAGCAGCGACTGACGCAACACAACATGTTAAAGAGATCACATGAGCACATATGTGCCAGATCTCATGTTAAAAATACAAAAAAAAAAACACGTGATCAGCTGTGGAGGAATTTAATCTTATAAAAGCTGTTTTACAGATGATATATATGGCATATTTAGCTTTATTAATAAAGGTAAAAAACACAGTGTTGTGACTATTCCTGCAGCTGCCACCATCACACACAACTTACTCTACATGATCGACGCTCTGAGGAAGCAGCTTGATTTTTTCTTTTTAAATCTGCACCCACGTTTGAATTTCTCGCCATTTTCCTCCTTTGTGTCCTCTACCACTCAAACACTCACATTAGTTTCACTGTATTCTGGCTAAACGAGCTGCCTGTGTGCCACAATGTGTGCCACAGGCCACAGCACGACTACACGCTCAATAAAAAGATAAAACTAACCAGCCGGCAGCCATAATATCCACAACATTCGCCTGTAACCGAGGACTGATAGGCCGACATATTGATTGTATCCACAACAAACGGGCTGCACACCGCTGCAAAACATCCGGCACGAAAACACCAATTTAATTTTATCCTTTTGATTTGTGGGGTTGTGTGTGGAAATGGAGCTGCTGAATTTCTGTTCTTGGAAAGCACTGAATTAAAAGAAAAGCTCAGTGACTCACACAATATTGCTCACAAAATAAAATATTTTAAATTCTGTTTTTTGCTCCCTTTGCATAATTTCTCTGTGTACGTGCTGGAATAAAAACTACAAATGTCCTAAATGCAAATAACCTTAAATAACCTACAAGTGTGGGCAGATTTAGACGTGTTTTCCTTGGAAATACATATAAATTAAATTAAAATGTTTGAGGCTTAAAATTTGGCTCCAAAACCCACGTTTAATTTTATATATATTTTCAAAAATTACACAACAAATAACAACTGATTTTTACGCCGTATAAGAGTGTTTGCAAACTGCAGTGATTTTATTTTATTTTTCTGTATTTAAAAAAATATCCAGGGGCTACAGCAGGCCTCCTGCAGGAGGGCGTGGACACTCATATTAAATTAAATATTATTCTGATGTTCATTAACATAACGTTGGCACACAAAGGCCATCAGCTATTGACAAGTAACCAAACACACACACACATCGCTTTATAGTGGAGAGCTGAATGTGTTTTTGTTTCTGTGTTGATAGCAGCGACACGAGGGGTGAATTTCTCCTGATTATCCTCAACAGTTTCCCTTTGTTTTCCTTTCTGTCTCAGGTCACATCTCAGCCTTCACACACACACACGTGTTCAACGGAATTATTTAATATGTGTGTGAGGAAAAATAATGAGGCAGTGTATTCATACAAGTCTGTTTTAGTTTAATCTAAGCAATATATTTCTATATTGTCCAAAATGAACAAAAGAGCTGTCACGGCTGTCACAGACTGAGCCAAACAACAATAATAATAAGAGTTATTTTATTCTAAATTGCGACATATTTTTTATTTTAAATGTACTATCTACAGGTGTGGTGTGGTGTTAACAATCTTTTGGCCTATTGTTTCCACAGCAGGTGTTGTCCACCCTGCAGCAGAGGTGTTGCATTGTTCAGCAGCAGCACAAGTTTCACACACTTTTACATTTAAATAAAATAATGTTTGCCTTATTTTGGTTACATTTAGACATTTTTAATGTGGAGAAGTAGCCAACAAATTTAAGATTTTATTTTATTTCATTGTTGTAATTGTGTGGCTGTCAGAGAGGTGGTGATTACAGCTTTTTGTGATTTGGATACTTATATTTAAAGTTACATTAATTCAGTTTCATGTGAGTCTGGGAGTTAGTTTTACGCACAGGATAAAGCAGTGTGTGTTGTGTTTTCGTTCACTTACCTCTCACTAATATCCTCCGACAGTAGTCAGGGTCCACTCCCAAAAGTTTGTCGTGTCCGTCTTCGCTGGAGGACGTCGGCGTGGACGCTGATGTCCCCGGGGTGTCGGTGGAGCTCTGAACCGGGGACCTGCTCCCTATCTCGGCGCGGCACTTTGTCTCCATCCGGTCCGGACACAACGGGTTGGGTCCACAGCGGTGGCTCCCATCGCCCATAGTCGTGGCCTGATCAAACATCTACAAGTTACTCTCTAAGATTATCTCTCCCTCCTTGTGTGTGTGTGTGTGTGTGTGTGTGTGTGTGTGTCGCTGCTGCTGCCGCTCACCCTCGTCTTTCTACTTTCTTCTCCTCTTTGCAAGTGTTCTCCAGAGACGAGGAGAGCATGCCCTCCTCTCCCTCCAAATAAAAAAAGGAAAAAGTAGATCCAGTTACAAAGGAACCATGCGGTCCTGCAACGGAACCGGGGTGCGCTTCAGGTGTCGCGGCATGACGCACGGTCCGGTGTCCAAACCAAAGCAAGGAGGGAGTCAGCTGATGGGAAGGAACCTCGGCTTCCTGCTCTAACTACAGCAGCCAGGAGGTGCGGGAGAAATGCATGGTGAGGCTTGTAAGGTACAAGGGGGCAACCAGATCTATGGAGGAGCGGGGAGGTGCCACAAACACACGCACACACTGCTCACCCACGTAGAAATAAAGTGAGAGGCGGCGCGCAAGAAGAGCCCCACACAGCAGCGGTCACAGTTCACCGGACACAAGCCAGGTGAGGAAAGTTTCTCCCGGTCTGTCCGGAGCAGCAGCCTGTTACTTCACCCCCGGTCACATCGGCTGCCTCTGCGGATCCGTGATTGCATGTTCTGGCGGTGAGATGGCCTCATGAGGGGGTCGGTGGTCTTCTGCTTTTGGAGCCCACAAGAAAAAGATGTCTGTGTTGAGACCCTTCTGGAGGGGACTGTCGGGTAAAATGGGAAATGGTCACTTTAGCTGCACAAATAAAGTCTGGAGCGCTCGTGTCAGTTTTTACATAATTTGCTTTGCAGCTGAAACATCACGTCGGCGCGGGGCGGCTGATACACCCTGCCTGCACTAACACAGCTGAGAGGTTGGTGTGTGCAGAATATTTGTGGTGACACGGTACACTTTACAGAGGCAAGAACCTCGTACGTCATTTCCTGCCCACGCAGGGTGGCCGCTGATTGGTCCGCCGTCAGGGCACGTTTTGACAAGAGGATGAGCGGCGCTGCAGAGCGGGATCAGCCGCGGAGACATGAGACGATGGTGCTGAGCGCGTTCCGCTCTGGAGACAGCCAAACGCAGCGCTTCCCGGGCTTCCCCTAAACTCTATCTCACCCTGACTCCGTGTCTGTTCCACGGATGAGCTCTAATATCTGTGTGGGTGCAAAGATAAATAATAGTTTAATACGCTGGAGACACTTCAGTGAGGTAAAACTTCACATTTAAATGATCCTCTGCGCTCATTCACTGGCCTGAAAATCCACAACATGACAGAATCTTAAAAGCAGAATTTTATAGGTATAGCCCCCAAATCACACTTCACAAAACGGTGCTAAACAGCCTACACTAAAGTAGTTATTTGGCTGTTAATGACAGGCTGACAGAGGGCTATAAAGCATCTTTAAATAGCGCTGCACAGAACCAGAGGTGCCAAACAGCACTGCGCTGTTTCCAAAATTTTGAGCCTGTTGGACCTTAAATAGAGGCGTAAACATACATAGTGCCGGCAGTGTGGTTGCACTGGGGCCCGAGGGTGCTTGCGAGTGATTCAGATTGCCACCTCGGAAACATGGCTGTGTTCAAAGACGAGTAAGTTAAATAAAAGGTGCCATTTGCGATATATTTCATCCAGATGACAAACCATCTGCGTCATGTTTTGTTTTTTTTGTAAAATAGTCAGCAGCAGTCTATAACAGAAATGTATTTTATTCTACATAAAACTATAAAATCTACCAAATTCATTTATTAATTTCTTACTTTCTTTGGTATTTTTTGTTATATGTAATTATAATTTGCTGGGTAATATGTCTATGTTGATGTTGTCCAAAGTCAGGTCTCTATCTGATCATGTGATGAGACATTGTGTGCTTAATAGCGCGCACTGCGGCCTGTCGTGACTCCCCAACGCCACTGCCCTTACCAAGGACGAGTCATTGTGCTACTAGATGATCACTGTACTTAAAATCTGAATGAGTCTCACACATTGTTGGGCAGGTTATGGTGTTCTTTGTGCTCCGGGAGGTCACTGGAATATTTGGTGCGCATTAGGAGGCTGAGAGTCACTGACTGCTTTACTGTGTTAACCTCTGGACATATATGAATGTTTTTCTTCCTTCCTCAGTGACAGAAACTAAACTAGAAGAGGACTCCTGAAGAACAACCACTCTACTGGTTCTTCAGCTTAGTTTAGTTTACTAGGAACAGAACCAGTGGAACCTCTAAAGACCCCAAAAAGATGGTTTAAGAGTTCTTTGTGCTTTACAGCAACTCATCCCAACATTTTCTGTGTGGTATCAGAATTTATTTCGGCCTGCAAATATAAGAACATCATGTACTGATGTACAAATTCATGTAAATAAAGTCACAGCCTCTCACAGAAAATGGCAGATACTTAAACAGTGCAGTACAAAACATTACAATAATGTAATTTAACCTCTGCAGTGTGAAAAGGGTGCAGGCTGAAGCTACAGCTTATAACAGCACATCATATGTAGAAGTCAACAACACAACAAAAGAAAGCAAGACAGGCAAACAAGGCAAATATTAGCTTTTTTTTTTTTTTTTTTACAGTTAAATACTGAATATAAGCCGATATGATTCAGTTTTCTACACAAGCAGAGAGGCGGTCACATTAAAGATTTTTTTTTAAAATGAATTTTTATGCATCAATTTGAGGTGGGAGTGTCTTTAATTTCGGCTAAAACGTCAGCGTCTTTATTGTGGGGGACAAATGAGTAGAGTCTGTATGTGCATTTATCCCCCCAAATCTGCGCGTTTAGAGTCTTTTCAGTCAGTGTGTTTTACATGTGTAATGAAATGGTTTTGTGTGGTTTTCTAGACAAGTGCTGTTTCTCAGAGGACAAGCTGTGGTTCTAAATATTTAAAACCTTTATTGACACGTAGCAGATGAACAACAGACATCAAACTTCAAAGGGAGAATGCAGCTGACCTCATAAAGTAAGATAGCCAACTCATGAATGGTGCAAACTATAAATGAACACGCAAATAACAATAACTAGAGCAAAGCATCATGATCTGAACAGACAGCATAGACAATAACAAAAAAAAAGACATATGCGTGATGGAACAGCAAACTACTAACTACTAACTATGTGGGCACCAGTCTTCATCTGTAATGGCTTATGTACCACAAATTTACTTTCTAGTGACTGTAGGTGTCCTATACTGTACAACTGGAGGCTCAGATTTGTGATTTTGGAGCCAAAAATTTTAAAATTTGACTTAAATATGCAGCAAATATTGATGCCTCTGTGCAATTAAGAGATATAAAAGCTAAAACTGACTTTTTTCATGCTCTTGCAGAAAATGAGAAAAAAATCCTGGAGGAAAAACTAAGTATTGGTTTAGTGTTTTGCCTAAATCATCAAATTTCCACAAGGAAATGTTCAAGAAGAAGTCCTTTATTCTTTCTGCCACACAGGCAATACTGACTATATCAGGGAACACTAGTATTTTTATAAGATGTGTTGTCGTTTTGCTATTTATGTATACAACTTATTGGTCCTATCTGCCTATTTGCACCATTATATCATATATATTGTTATATCTATCTGTCTATCTGATTCAAACTTCTCTAATATCAACACAAAATCAGCCATAACTTTGGTTTAAAATAAGATATTCCTTCAACAGCCTCTACTGATCACACCCTGTGCGTATTTAGTGTAGGTGTCCTCACACCTGTCCTGGGATGATAGTTAAAGATTTGCGGAAATGGCTGAACTGGCGCATTTACAGTCCCCTTAATCTTAACTTGCGTAAATAAATAAATCAAATATTCTGAGGATGGAACCAACAGCAGCAGCAGATGCACATATATAATACAGTCCAATATAGAAAAGAGTTGAATCAACGATCCGAGCAAAACTTATTGTGTTCAACAGGTGTTCCTGTTATTTTGTCCACCCCCCTCTCCACCTCTCCACACACGATTGCCTCAAGTCTTGTTTTATGAAACGCTGATGGCCCTTCTGCAGAACCCCGCTGTTAACACACAATCTGTGCAGGGCGCTAAAGAAGCAGCATAAAGTGATGTTTCTATTGGTTTTCCACCGCACATCAAACAGCTCATTCACAGTCATTTACCGCCATTGACTGCATATGTACGCACACACACCGGCCTCTGTGTGCTGCTGATGGCGCAGCCCGCAGTTTGTTGTGATTGTGAGATAATTTCAGCTGCAGGAATGACTGAAACACTGAGTGGAATTTCCTCTTTACAGGTGAAGCGTCTTTGAAAACACTGCGGCGGCGGAGGAGGAAGAGGAGGAAGAGGAGGAGGAGGAGAGGGGGGGAGAAAAAGGGGATTTTGAGCGGGATTATATAATTATAGTTTTGCCGTGTGTGTTTTTTCTTATTTTTCTTATCCGAGGCCGTAATTACTGCACACAGCCATGGGTCGTTACTCCTTTCAGCTGGCCTAATCTCACAGAGGATGAATAGAAACTGTCAATCAGACGCTGCACTCAGCAGCGAGACAAGAGGGGACTGATTGCTGCCGCTGTGCTGCTGCAAGACACACACACACACACACACACACACACACACGCACACCTCCTCTTCCTCCTCCTCTCCAGTGTTTTCACCCTCTCTGATGCACAGCCCTCCAAAAAAGCAGATTTTTTACCACGTTTAACTTTTCTGAAGACTGCTCATATTTTGATTTCGCTCTATTAGGAAACATTTTGGTGTCGCTCTGTGCTGTGATTATAATGTTTTAACAACCGCAGGGACATTTTGTGTCTGCTGCCGCCTCTGCCTCTAAATGTGCCTCAGTACAGGATGTTTGTGCGCTGACTGACACCTCCTCTGAACCAGTCTTCTTAGATAGATAGATAGATAGATAGATAGAAAGATAGATAGATAGATAGAGCACATATGAAACAGGGGTGGGGTCCACTGCAAGAACATTTTAAGTATCAAACCAGGGGCGTAAATAGACTGTACAGGCAGTGGGTCACCCTGGGGCCCATGAGATGAAGGGCCTGTGTAGAGGATACAGATTGTCACCTCAGAAATACGCCTGTGCTCAAAGGAGAACTTGCTTTCTTTCTCACTTGGAATTTGTTGCATATTGGCGTTTAGTTATGGACTTTCACGTTGAGATACAATGCGCAAGGTTCCCTGGGTGTGTTGGTTGTTGACGTTCTGGGACGCCGTGTCAAGTTCTGCCCGTTACATGCATTGTCTTCTTTCAAGATACACTTCTGTTTTCACAGGAAATTTACATCAGCACAACACCGCACTGTTAAACTATAATGGCAACCGGCCGTGTACCCTGCCAATATTAAAGGATGCCTCTTTTCTTTGCATTTCTGACGTCACAAGTCACTGCACAAGTGCCGGATTCTGACGACTTCGGAGTGAGACCGGGCTCCCTTGTCACATATTGGCATTTGGTCATGGACTTTCCACAGTGAGATATGACATGAAAGGTTCCCTGGGTGTGTTGGTTGTTGACGTTCTGGGACACCGTGTCAAGTTCTGCTCATTGTTTGCATTGTCTGTTTTCAAAATACACTTCTATAGGGGCATCGGTGGTTTAATGGATAGAGCAGGTGCCCCATATACAAGGCTGTTGTCGCAGCGGCCTGGGTTCGACTCCAGCCTGTGGCCCTTTGCTGCATGTCATTTCCCCTCTCTCTCCCCCCTTCACGCTTAACTGTCCTATCTATAAGGGCAAAAATGCCCCAAAAAATATCTTAAAAAAAAAAAATACACTCCTGTTTTCACAGGAAATTTACACTGCACCATTAAACTATAATGGCAACTGGCCGTGTATCCTGCTAAAATTAAAGGATGCCTTTTTTCTTTGGTTTCTGATGCCACTGCCTCCC